GGGTGGGAGACACAGGCAGCCCAGGTCAGCGAGAGATGCCGAAGGTGCGTGGCGGCGGGGAGGAGGAGGAAGGGGGACAGACGCGCAATCGGGCCAGGCACCTCGGTCTTGATCTTGTTGCTCTCGTGGTCCTCGTCGTCGTCATCCTCGTCGTCCTTCAGGGTGATGGTCGACATGCCGAGGCGCTTGGTGATGTCGATCGTGCCATCCGGGCGGTCGTTGCCGATCATCTCATCGTCGCCATCATCATCGTCATCATCGTCGTCGGTGAAGGCGCTCTCGCGCCGGACGATGATCTCCTCCTCGAAGTCGTCACCAAAGTCGTCCTCGTAGTCACCGATGCCGTCCTCCTCGTCGCTGGAGATCATGTCGGTCTGGGCGAGGATGTGTGGGCGTGTGAGTGCGGGGGGGAGGGGGGGACGTGTGGGCGCAAGCCACCCTCGTGAGCAGCAGGGCGGGCGGCAGGCAAGAGGGGCGACGCACCTTCACACGGCGGATGCGGGAGCTCTCGAAGCCATCGGTGTCCATCGAGCGCTTGGGCGGCATGGTGGCGGGGTGGGGTGGTTGGGCGTGGGGGGGCTGGGGGGGGTGGGGGTAGGGTGGGGGTGGCGCGGGGGGCGGGAGGGGGGGCGGTCGCGTGTAGGGGGGGGGGTGGGGGTGGCTCGGGGGGGGGGGGGCGCGGCTTGAGCTTGCATGCACAGAAACACAGGCCACCGGACGAGGAGGAACGTACATCGGCGCACATCGTTGACCAGCTCGCGGAGGACTTCCAGCAGGGTGGACGCGCGGTTGTGGAGGACCTCCAGTTCTGGGGCCGTCCGGCAGGCAGGAATGAAACAGACACACACGTACACCCACACACACACACACACAGAGAGAGATACGCAAGGGGGTCAGTGACAGCCGGCGGAAGGTGGGACTTCCGCGACCGGCGGCGAACACGCACCCTCCTCGCCACAGCCGGCTTGCGCCACGAGCACCGGCGCGTCGCGGCAGAGGCCGCGCACCGCATTGGCCAGGGTCACCAGGCGCGACACCAGCGGCAGGTCGTCCAGCTGCCCGGCCACCGGCTGCCCGGGGTCCAGGGTGTGGTGGTGCCCGAGGGTGTCCGGCAGGGCCAGTGCCGCGATGGCCGTGACGATGTTGCGCTCGGAGGCCGACAGGTCCGGCGAGTCATCCGTGTAGGGGGCGGTGGCGGCCGCCGGGTCCCCGGGGCCGGGAAGAGCTCCGCCGCCGGGCGGGGCGCCGCCGACCAGGGGCGCTGGCGGGGGGGCAAACATCGACGCCGCGGCGGACATGCTGCTCTCAGGCGCCGTCGCCTATGCTGCTTGCGGCGGGCG